AAACAGAGCTCAAGCTGTCACCCTGGGTAGAGTGCTGTGGCATCACAGCTCACAGCAACCTCCAACTCCTGGGCTCAAGCGAGTTTCCTGCCTCAGTCTCCCAAGTAGCTGAGACCACAGGTGCCTACCACAACGCCTGGCTATTTTTGATTGCAGCCGTCATTGTTGTTTGGTGGGCCCGGGCTGGATTTGAACCTACCTCCTTAGGTGTATGTGGCTGGCACCTTAGCCACTTAAGCTACAGACGCCAAGCCACTTTATAGGAAATCTTAAAGCCAGGTTATATAAGTCTCTCTGCTTCAATTATTCTCAGAATTATTTTAGTTATCCTAGCTTCTTTGCATTTCTAAATAATTTTTTTTCTTTTTTTTTTTTTTTTTTTTTTGATTTAAGAGTCTTACTTTGTCACCCTTGGTAGAATGTTGTGGCTTCACAACTCACCGCAACTTCAAACTCTTGGGCTTAAGCAATCCTCTTGCCTCAACCTCCTGAGTAGCTGGGACTACAGGTGCCCACCACAACACTTGGCTATTTGTTTTTTTTTTTTTTTTTTAGAGACCTTGTCTCGGTTTTGCTCAGGGTGGTCTTGAACTCATGAGCTCAAGCAATTCACCTGCATTGGCCTCCTATAGTGCTGGGTTTACAGGCATGAGCCACCACACCTGGCCTAATTTCCAAATAAATTTTAGAATCAGCTTGGGATTATGCATCTAATCTGTGTATTAGTTCTTGAGAGGGGTTTTATCTGAAGATAAAATCTGCATTGATTTCTTCGGGTATCTCCATCCATTTAAGTTCCTGATTTTACCAGTGTGTTGTAGTATCCCTTAATATTTTCTGTTGTTATGTGATGATTTTAAGATCTTCAGCATTTATTTACTGGCGCATAGACTTATACTCTATTTTTTTTCAATATTGACCTTGAATCTTTTCATGTTAGCAATCCATTTATTGTTTCTGGTATGCCTTCATAGTCTTACTTGAAATTTTTTATCTATACAATTATGATCCAATTATGATATGATACAGCAACTATTTCCTGCCTTATCATACTGGCAAGATTGTCCAACACATACCTAAATATTAATAGAGATCTTGCAGTGTGCCAGTTCTTAGGGGTGAAGCATTATCTTTCACTTTTACACATAGTCTTGGGTGTGGTTTCAATTCCTAATTTGCAAAGAGTATTTTTTTTTAATTATGAATGGTGGGTAAATTTTGTCAAATACTTTATTAAGCATCTATTAAGGCTATCATCTGGTTTTTCTGCTCTGTTTTGTTATTTTGAAGGATTACATTGATATTTGAATGTTCAACCAGCCTTATATTCCTGGGATCCCACCCAGTCATGGTGTAGTATTCTTTTTTTATATATCCCTGAATTTGATTTGATAATATTTTATTAGGGAGGTTTTGTCTATGTTCACTGGGAAGGTAATGGTGGAGGGGCATTGGTCTAAAGTTTTCTTTGCTTGTTATGTTTTCATCATTTTAATTTCAAGCTAATGTTGGCCATTTCATCTAAATTATCAAATTTAGCAATATAAAGTTCATAATAGTTCCTTTTTTAAAATGTAAGATCTGTAGTCATATTCTGTATTCCATTTTCTGTATTGGTAGTTTATGTCTCACCACCACCCCCTCTTTTCTTGATCAGTATTGGTAGAGATATATTA